CTAAAGTTTAACCATTCACTTGTCAGCCAAGTCCCCCATCTCCCTGCCATCAGGAGGGTTTGAATGTAAGCTGACTGTTTAGTTTGGTTAAACACTCATAGAGATTGGCAGTACCTTCAGGCTTCTGTGGATGCAAATGTAGATGCTCACCAGTAGAACGCAGCAGAAATCAAAACACACACACACACACACACACACCCCACTAGCACCATCACCATCACCATGAACTAGAGCCAATGAAAACAATAGACAGAAAAATGAGGCTCACAAAAATTTCAGATGTCAGAATGATCAGACTTATACTATAGGCAAATGTTTATTTTTATCATTAATTAAATTTATTGGTACAATTTAGATATACATAATGATCACATTCATTGTATGTAATTTGTACCTGTACATGATATATCTTGATTCATATTTTCATATTTTTTCCCATTCCCTTCTCCCTTCTACCCCTTATTTACCCCTCTCCCCCTTCTTATTTACAAGAGCTTTGTTTCCATTTTATCTTTCTTTTCCCATTTTTTCTTTTTCCTTCTTTCCTTTCCCTCTCTCCCCTTCCTCTGGCCCTTCCCATTTGAAAATGTTTTTCTATTTCACAATGTCTATTATACATTTTGGTCGTTATTTACACTTTCAGTTTCTCACACCAGAGAAATTGAAATTTATTTACACATGTTTCTGATTTATTTCACTTAAGAATATGGTCTTTTTGTGCATTCATTGAGCTAGAAATGTCTCAAGTTTATCATCTTTATAGCAGAGTAATACTTCATTGTATTAAAAACCCCCACATCTTTTTTATCCATTAATCAGTTGATGGGCATTTGGATTGTTTCTAAGATTTAGCTATTACAAACTGCTGCTATGAACATGGGTGTGCATATATCTCTGTGGTATGATGGTTTTAATTCTTTCAGGAAGATATGGAGGAAGGGGGATAGCTGGGTCAAGTGGAACCTCTGGTCCTAGTTTTTTGAGAAATCTGCACACTGATTTTCACAGTGGTTGCACCAGTCTACCCTCCCATCAACAGTGGAAACATTAAACCAGAAACACTAAATCTGCTAGAAGAGAGAATAGGTGGAACTCTTGAAGACATAGGTATAGGCAAAGATTTTATGAACAAAGCCCTGATTGCATGGGAATTATTACAAAGAACCGACAACTGGGATCTCATCTTAAGCAAAATATATCACCAACAGAATATAGAGACAACCAATAGAGTGGGACATAATTTTTACCAGCTGTTCCTCAGACAAAAGACTAATATCTAGAATATATAAAGAACTGAAAAAAATCACCCCCCATTTAAAGACCCAATCCAAAAATGGGCATCTGAAATGAATACACAGTTTTCAGATGAAGAAGTACAAATGGCAAATAAATATATGAAAACAATTTTCAACATCATTGGTCATTTGAGAGATGCAAATTGAAACAACCCTGAGATTCCATCTCACTCCAGAAAGAATGGGTGCTCTCAAGAAATCAACCAATAACAAATGCTGGCAGCACTGTGGGGAAAAAGTAAATATGCTTAATATGTACAAACCCCCTAAAAATTTCAGGAGAAACTATTGAGAAAAATGCAGTTGCTGAAATCTAAAAGCTGGCCTGAAACTTGATGGACCATAGATGATTTCACAGAACATCAATATCACATAAGGCCATTCTGCTACCATTCCTGATGTAGGCAAAAGAAAGACCAGTCCACAGTCGTGTCTGACAAAATATGAATGTTGTGTAGCTCAGTGGTGCTGTTGTCTGCCTTGCAAGTGCAAGGTCCTGAGTTCGATCCCTGGTACCAAAAAGAAAAAAAAATGAATGTTGTCCTAGTAGCAACAATGAGAAAACATCTCTTGTCTTGGCTAATATGACTGGGTGCAGTTGTGGCTTTAGTCTTGGTCAAGTCTTTCATAGTTTTGGGTTAGATTTATTGATATCCAGTCATAGAGTAATTCCTGCTTCCTGAAAGCACCCAGCACAGAGAAAAGTCCTGCTTTCTTACCACCCCCAATCACCCAGCCCAAGTTCAAATCTTTTAACAGGTCTTTTCTACCACTCTCCCAGTGGCATGCAATTCCCTCACTGCAATGAGCAATAAATCCAACTTGCTCAGCCACAAGTATGTTCTCGGTTGTCTTTACCTGGAGAACACTGATAATATAACAGTCAAGCCAATGTGAAAAATAACCTGACAGTACTTCTAGAAATAAAAATACAACTTCAGAAACTCATTGGTTACTTCTGACAGCAGCTTGGAGATGAGAGAGAGAATTTGCGATCTGGAAGATTTATTTGAAGAACTTACTGATTATGCACATAAAATGACAGATGGGGAGAGAATATATAAAAGTCAGAAAAAGTTCTAACTATAGTTCATCGAAGCTCCAGAGGTTCCCAAATGTGAGGCGAGAGAATGAGAGCAGCAGAATACTCATGGAGATACCACTGACAATGTCCTCAAATGGCAAAGATATTAATTCTCAGATTAGAGTTCCAGTAAATCCAAATCATAAAATATAAACAGAAACACACGTCTAGACACATCAGGGAAAGCTGCAGAGATGCATCTAGGAAAACTGAGAATGCAAAATTCAGAGAAAACCTTAAAGGTAAACATAAGGAAAAGATAGATTACCTAACAATGATGAGGCTGATTGCTAAATTTTCCAGAAAGTTCTCACAGCAGAGCAGATGACAGAGGTGGAGTGACACCTTCAGAGTGCCAACAAGGAACACCTGACAACCTAGAATCGTGTGTCCGAGAAAGACATCATCAGAAAGACTAACAGAAAGCATTTTCACTGGCAAAAATTAATTGGTGCATTGTAGGCACAAGGAAAGAAATCCCAGAAACAGAACTTGAGATGCAGAAAAAGAATAGTAAACAAAGGGGGTGGAGAATTATTAGATGAAACTAATCAAATCATGAATATATATGAGAACCACCAAAATAATATTTTACAGGGAAGGGAAAAATCAAAATAGAAAAGAAAAAAAAGAGTATATTCAGAGGAATGACAGCCATAGGTAAAATATACCATAATCCTTAAGATGTTCAGGAGGACGGTGATGATAAAGTATGTTTTAATTTTTGGGGGTAGTGTATTAGTTTCCTAGGGGGACTTTCACAAAGCACGAAAAAACTATGTGACTTAAAACAATGGAAATTTATTTTCTCAGAATTCTGGAGAGTAGAAGTCTAAAATCAAGGTGCCAGAAGATCTGGATCTTTCATAGGGCTTGAGGAGAAATCTCCTAAAAGCAATCTACAGTGTCTCTCAAGTTGTAGATGCCTACAAGGACATAAGCCATGAATTAAAGGTTGACCCTTAAAAGGTCTTTTTTTTGGGAGACAAAATATAGCCCATAACAGCTATTAAAAGAATAGAAATGAAGATGGGAAAAGTTAAAATAAGAGAAAAATAAATGGTTCATTATAAGAGAAGACAAGAAAAAAGGGAAAGAAAGCAAAACAAATGAACCAGCAAAAAAGGCATGGTTTCACAGAGAGGAGATATAAAAAAGATAATAAGAGTAAATGCAAGTATACCAGAAATGAACAATATGTGTAAATGGACTTTTTTGCACACTTCAAAATTGTTCATGACAGTATTCTCCCTTGTGATAATAATAATCTCAAAAAAGATTATTTTTCATCCCAAAATAAGGCTGCTGGAATTAGATCTGGTTTGTTTATTTAAGTGCAGTGAGACTGTTAATTCACTATAGAGTTTCCTTTCAAATTTGAAGCCATAGAATATTGAATTAAATCCACAGATTGTATTTTTCTGTCCCTATTGTCCTAGTGTAGCCCATCATACATATTATTTCTAACATAATCACATAATTTATAAACTTATAGGTTAAAGAGTAAATTAAAATAAAAAGTCAGAAAATACTTGAACTGTCATAAAATTATTATGTATCAGAATTTGTGAAACAAGAAAATTTGTAGCCTTAAATGTTTATAATGTGAAAGAAGAAGGGCTGCAGATGAGTGTGCCGGGCGCATATCTGAAGAGAGAAGCTGGGCACAGGGGTACAAGTCATTCCCAGCTACTTGGGAGGCTGAGACTGGAGGCTGAGGGGAGAATCGCTTGAGCTCCCAGGTATGGGCAATATAGCGAGACCCCTATTGCAAAAAGAAAAAAATAGTTAGAAAAAAATTCTTAAGAAAGCAGGAAAGAAGAAATAGAGAGGCGAGTGGAACTTAAAGAAATAGTCAGCAAATATACAAAAGAAAACACAAGACAGCAAAGCCAAGATGTTGTGGGTAAAGATGAAAACACCTGGAAAATCTTGTGCAAGATTAATAATGAAAGAAGGGACAATATTAGGGATGAAAGATGGGGGCCATAGCAACATTGGCTGTAGACATTAATAAGAGACTATCATAAATTTGGAAGTAGACAAAGTGGTCAAACTTCGAGAATACTTAGCTTCAGCTTTCTTCTCTTAATCAATATACTATTTTAATCTTCAATCAGGAGTTTAAAACTGTCTTCTCCAAGAAAACAGCTTCTCCACTTCACCACAACTGTCCCAAATGGAACTTTGTTCTTCTAAGTGTTCAAGGAATGAGTAAGTCTAATTTCACATAAACTTCCAGAGCATACAGAAATAGTTGACATTAAATCTTGCCTTTATCCAAGGAATGCAAGTGTGGTGTAATTTCAGCGTAATAATGAATGTATTTTATCTTGCAAATGGACCATTTCAATACATCCAGAAATATAGTCATACATCACTTAGTGTAGGGGATGCATTCTGAGAAATGTGTGAAGTAATCTCATCATTGAACAAGCATCAGAATGCACTACACAGCTGAGACAGCTACACTGTCACTCAGCAGTATCGTATTATAGGACCACTATGGTTTATGTGAGCCATTGTTGACCAAAGCATTATTATGCCCTGCAAGGCTATACTTGATTATAATTCAACATTTGCAATAAAAACAGCAAAGTGAGGATGAAGAGAAGCATGCATAACCTGATAAAAGTGTATTCTTAAAACATCTATAGTGTGAAGGCAAAATACGAAAAAATACAGAGTTTTCCCTATGATACTGAGATGAAGATGTGATGTTACACCTGCCAGTTCTTCTTTCAGTCTCCTGCTGGAGTCCTAACCGTGCAGGGAAAGAGGAAAAACATGCAAAGTAGGAGGCCTAGAAAGGATGAGACAAAATAGTTATTCTTCACAGATGGTACAATGAAGTACATGAAAAATCCAAAAGAGTTTAGCAAAGCTGCAGGGTATAAAGTCAATGGAAAAAACACCAATTCACCTTATATGTTCTAACAGCAAACATAAATTAAGTAAAAATATACATTTATAATAAATCCAAGAAATGAAGTACCTAAGAATGAACCTTTCAAAATAATCCTAAGACTTCTGCTGTGGTCTGAATGTCCCCTCTAAAACTCATGCCGAAATTTAATTGCACCTTGATAGAGCTGGGAGGTGTGAAGACATGACTAGGTTATCTCTAGGAATGGATTAATGCAGTTGGCAAAGTGGTTACTTGAGAGTAGCTTTGTTATCAAAGTGAGATATTGGCCTTATATGATGATGTATGCCTGGGATTCAGCTACTCAGGAGACTGAGGTAGGAGGATCACAAATTTGAGGCCAGCCTGGACAACTTTATCTCAAGATAAAGAAGGACTTGGAGCATGATTTAGTGACAGAGCACTTGACTGGCATGCACAATGACCTGGGTGTGATCCCCAGTACTACTGCAAACAAGAATAAGAACTCTCTCTCTCTCTCTCTCTCTCTCTCTCTCTCTCTCTTTTTCTCTCAACAATGCCCTCTGCAATTTATGCAATTTATGATACAGAAGAAAGCCATTATTCCCATCATGCTCTTGAATGCTCTAACTATGAGAGCAATCAGTATCTTTTCTTTATAATTACCAGTCTCAGGTATTCTCTGATAACAGAAAATGAACTAAGACAAGAGGCTAATGGTGGAAATGATAACTCTCTTTTGAGAGTTTATAGAGGAGAAGCCCAGAGCCTTTGATTACCTGACAGAAAGCCTGTGTCCATCCAGGTGAGAGCTGGGCTTTTTCTCCCCCTTGACCTTCCCAGGCTGCAGCCCCCTCTTCCCATCAGTCAGCAGCCCAGCTGGGCAGGCAGCTCTGTGCTGGTAGTCACAGTGTCCCCTTGGGGAGTCAAACCCCAGGCTCTTCCTTGAGCAGTCAGTGATGATCGTGGTTAATAAGGAGAAGGCTGTAGTTCACACGGTTGGCAGTGCCAGGCCTGAGTGTCACCAGAAGCTGGTTACGTCACCTTCAAGCATCAGAACATGCAACTCTCTTGAGGAGCCCAACAGAGATAATGGAAATGCCTCCCTCTCATCTCGAGAATCCAGAACCTAAAATTTCCAAAATGTCTCCTTGTTTGCATTTCTGCACCTTTTAGTATCCTGTATTGTATGGTTTACAAAGATCTTAATTTTTTACTATTTGAGGCAGAAGGATAAAAAACTATCAAGTAGGATGGTTTTTAATTTGAAAAAGAAGAAAATTAGTCTCAGTGATTTAAAGCAAATAGGCAGCAATTTGAATACAACCGTATATTAGAGGGAAGGCCACAGAATTTAAACCCTTGTGGAAGGGTTGTAAATTGGCCTGTGGCTGATGTTCTTCAAGTCCACATTTAGACGACTGGAGGAGCTACTGAGAACATATTGGATGAGGAAAAACCTAGTGGTCACCCTTACCTGGAAATGAAATACTCTGGGACGACTTCCCTCAGTGCTGAAAAATATGCCCTTGGAAAGCTCCATGATTGATCCTGAAAGAGCTGAGATTTTCTACTTCTTAAGAAGAGAAATGCAGAGCCCTGTGGGTTCAATCCTCAGAGAGGAGGGGGAGGGAGAGGGAAGCCGGCGGTGAAGCAATTGATCTGATTCCACGGGCGGGCAAACCGCAGGCAGCTGGGCTTGTACCCTGGGGATCTGTTCCAGGAAGGGTTTCCTCTTCTTCCACTCACCACATCTTTCCTCCTCTCCCGTTTTCCCCCCCGCACCACCAGCGCTACAGATCTAGCAGGGTTCACACCAGTTCTTTTTCTGAGTCACTTTGCAGGCCTCAGTCCCCCTCAGGCTGTGCCACCTGCTCTGGGCCCTGTGGGTGAGGGTTGCACAATGTGTGAACAAGACCCCCGGCCTTGTGAAGTTTGAACTCTGCACGACTTTGCCCTCTTTTTCCCTCTGCCTTTTTAAATTTGAGCGTCGCGGCTCTACAGATTAATGGGCTTCATGCTGAGATGCTCAGAACCTGCTTTCACTTTCCTCCCCGCCGCTCTCCCGGCCTGCCCTCCCCCAGTTTCCCCCGTTTGGGTTTCAGAGTGTGTAATGTCACGTGATCGCATTCACGCCCCCTATCTTCTGCCTTAAACACTCACTTCTGTTTCTATGGGGAAAGTCGCCCTGCTTTCGGCGAGGTGAGGATGATTTGGAGTCTGTGGAAAGCACGGTTGCTTTTCCTTCAGGTGAGTTCCCTCCAGATACAGGCAATCTGAGCACCGGGTTCTTTGTGATCACAGAATCCCCCTAGCTGCAGATTCGCGCGTCCTACACTGTGGTCCAGACAGGCAGTGCCTGAGGAAGTCTTCTTGTGTTCCGTATTCCAAAACGTTCTTGTTGTGTGGTTTGATGACATCACAGAGCAGGGACCAGGATTCCAGGCTGGAAAGTAGTTGCAGTTGCAGCATCTGACCAGTAGGGGGCGTGGGCGCCTTTCTCTCCAGGGAAATATCCCAGCCGGATTAGGGGCTTTCAGGACCAAGCCAGCTTTGCTTGCTGGCCCGCCACTACCCACCACTCTGTTTTGATTTGGCAAAATCCAGTGTCCTTTATTATTTCTACATGACTATTAATCTTCTTAGATGCTGAACAGTATCTCTTACAAACTTCTTGCTTTTTTTCCCTCTGCAAACTGTGGACTCAAGTTTTATGTTTGCTTTAAGATGCTACCTGGAGTCCTGGGACCTCAGAGGGCCCCGAGGATGGTCCAGGGTCCTCACAGGGAATCCTCCTCCCTACTTCCCTGGGAGCAGCCCGATCCGAAGTCCTGCGCCTGCCCGATTCTGGTCTTACGCTGCGTTGACTTTGAGAGGGTGGTCACTTTCCAATATTTTTTGAAGAAAAACACTCAAGCAGGTTTTTAATCAGGGGGCCTGCTACCCCACATTGACATTCACATCCAGCTGTGTCTCAAATCAGAACCTTGAGCAAAGCGCCTAGTTACTGCGCTTAGGGGCATCTGGCCCAGCGAGTGAAGAAGTGACCCGGATGACAGCTCAATAGCTGAGCTTCCACGTGTGCAGCTCAGCCAAAGCCCCCTTTTCTCCCAATCAGAAGGGAAGAGCTGTCTGGAGCCCCGAAAGACTGGACCCCTAGAAGCAGGAGGGAATCTCTGTCCATCTTACAATTTTCAACGGAAGTAATCCCAGTGTGCAACGAAGCATTTGTTTCCTGCCCTGATTTTGTCTTTGAGAAATGTGACAGAGACAGAAATATTTATTTTTTAAATCTTTTGTAAGACACAAAAGGCAACACGCTTTTAAAAAATTCTTTTTAATCCTTATTTACACTTTCAGTTTTTCACACTAGAGAAATTATTCGGTATTTACACATGTGTGTCCTATTTATTTCACTTAAGAGTATGGCCTCAATGTGCATTCATTTAGCTATAAATGTCTCTAGTTTCTCGTTCTTTATGGCTGAGTAGTACTCCATTTTATAAAAAACCCACATCTTTTTTTTTTTTTTGGTACCAGGGATCAAACTCGGGTCCTTGTGGTTGCAAGGTAGGCAGCGGAACCACTGAGCTAAATCCCTGGCCAAAACCACATCTTTTTTTATCTAGTTTCCAGTTGATGGGCACTTGGGCTGTTTCCAAGCTTTAGCTATTACGAACTGTGCTGCTATAAACATAGGTGCACATATATCCCTGTGGTATGATTCTTTTAATTCTTTGGGGAAGATACCCAGCAGGGGAATAGCTGGGTCAAATGGGACCTCTAGTCCTAGTTCTTTGAGGTATCTCCATACTGATTTCCACAGTGGTTGCACCAGTCTGCACTCCCACCAACAATGGAGAAGGGTTCCTCTCTCCCCACACCCCCGCCAGCATTTGTCATTGGTTGATTTCTTGAACACGTTTTTTTTTTTAAACATGATGAAATAGATATGTAGTGTATTTTAAATAATATTCTTTATTTGTGGTGTGGTATGGGGACCTCTAGGAAATTTTTATCTCAAATTAATTGTAATAAAAAACCTTTATAACCACTCCCACCAAAATACATACTAAACTTAATTTCTGGGTATTTGAAATAATGTTTTAATGCTCAGTGCATATCAAATTATACTTGAAAACTATTCAAAGTTGGATAAAATAAAAAATAAAAATAAATATAAATGGTTGAGTGCTTGTCTAGCATACTTGAGGCCTTGTGTTCAATCCCCAGCACTGTAAAATGAAACAAAATAGAAATCTACAAAACAGTAAGGAAAATTGAATATGTATATTCTTTGACTTAATCCTGTGTCTATATTTACAGAAGTAATGCCAGGATTACATAAAGATTTATGCTCAAGGATGGCAGTTGGATTGGTAGTTGCAGCAGAAAAACTAAAACTGCCTAGCTATTCATTAACACACTTTTTTTTGAGATCAAATAACAAAATAGCACACAGGCACTTAAAAATGTGTAGATTTGAAAGAACTATGTGTCTGATATATGCTTCATTAAGTGAAAAATGTGAATTGTGAAGTCACAAATTTTATGAGATTCCACATTTGGAAGAAATTCCACATGTGGAGCATATATGTGAATGTGTGTAAATGCATGACAGATTTGTGTGCTCAAATTTAGGAACAGGTTAGGAGGAATATAAATCAAACGTTAGCAGTCACTAACTCTGGGGGGTAGGACTGGATGGGTAGAATATAATTTTCATGATTCAAACAAGTGATGGATTTATGGGTAATTTTTGTGACTTTTATCATCATCATCATCATCATCATCATCATCATCATCATCATCATTTTTTTTTTGGTACTGGGGATTGAACTCAGGACCTTGGAACTGTGAGGCAGGTGGCAGAACCACTGAGCTAAACCCCCAGCCCCATTATTATTGATATTATTTCTGCAGTACTGGGGGATTGCACCCAGGACCTTGTGCACATGAGGAAAACGCTGTCACCATGCTGGATGCCCAGCCTTTTTTATTTTTATTTTGAGACAGTTTTGCTAAATTTCCCAGACTGGCTGCAAAATTGTAGTGCTCCTTGCCTCAGTCCCAAGTAGTTGGGATCATAGGTATGTACTGCCCTGCTTGGCACTTTTTATTATCAAACAAACGAGAGGAAACCCAAAATATAAATAAATTAAAGAGCAAGATAAAAGGTAATAGGAAACAGGGAGCTAGATCTTTTGCAAAAGGGAAGGGGACCAAGAGGTAGAGGAAGGGAGGAGAGGGTAGAGGAAGAAATGAGACTTAAGACGTGTATGTATTTGCACTAACTCCACTCTATGTGGTCATTATGTACTGCAAACATGTAATACTGATAATGTTTTTTAAAGTTTTTAATTTTTTGGTACCAGGGATTGAACTCGGGACCTTGCGCTTGCAAAGTAAGCACCAGAACCACTGAGCTAAATTCCCAGCTCCAATAATTAAAAAACAAAAAAAATCCCACTAAGACAATGCTGTTAGGTAGAGGGAAACTTGAAGGCCAGAGAGACATGGAGGAACTTTGAGCCGACGCTGCCCTCTGCTGGGCATGCTGTGCCATGCACCGGCGTGGCCCACGATGGGTCTCAGACATGAGGCCTGGGGTTCTGGAGAAGGCAGAACTTTCCGTAAGCCCCGGAGGACCGCGGGAGGTCCCTCCGGCCAAAGACCCCAAACCTGGGCCGGACATCAGAATTACCCAGCTGCCACACACAGAGAATCCAATAGAGGGGCTTGCATGGGGACCAGCAATGCATATTTGTGAAAAAGGTCCCAGAGGCGCTGGTGTGCCCTGACTTGCTGTCTAGTAAACATCCTGCAGGGTAGCCGTGGTGTCCAGCTTAGGTTTGTGCCTGGGGATGACAGGTCCCCAGAGGTGACCTTTTCAGTACTCTCTGCACCTTCTCCTCTCTGGGGCCACTTAGGAGCTCTCTGGACACTTTCCTCTGGCCAACACCAGTAAGTTACAGATCCAGGCCCTTGTACCTCCCCACCCTGGTGTGGTCAGATGCAGCTTGGCCAGAGTCAGGCTTGGGGCCTTCTCAGCTGCGTGACCTCAGGAGGTCAGAAAAGTCTTTAAACCTGGCAGACACACCTTCATCCCGGAGTTTATGCAGTATTGGTCACAAGATCTAAGGCATGAAGTCAAGGGTGATACCCATCAGTGGATGAATGGATAAAGAAAATGTGGGCTATGTTCACGGAATATCATTCAGCTCCAATAAGAATGGACTGCGGTGATTTGCAGCACCATGGCTGTAACTGTGCAACATTACGTTAAGTAACATAAATCTGGCACAGAAAGACAAATACCGCCTGGTCTCACGCACACGTAGAAGTTAAAAAGTTGATTTCAAAGAACCAGAGAGGAGGCAGCGGAGAGGGAGGGATAACGAGGGAGGCTGGAAGACAGTACTAGTAACAAGTACTAGTCCTCTACTGCACAGTAGGGTGGCTACAGTTTACAGTAATTTATTATCTATTTTGTAAAGAACCATGAGACAGGAGAGGACTTTGAAGTTTCCCAACACAAAGAAATGCTATCAGCTTGACTTGATCATTGCAAATGGTTGCTTGTTTTTCTTTTTGTGGTGCTATGGGTACTATCCAGGGGCAATTCTACCATAAAACTACCTCCCCAGTCCTTTTTATTTTTGCTCTGAGACAGGGTCTCCTTAAGTTGCCAAGGCTGGCCTCCAAATTGAGATCCTCCTGCATCTGGAGCAGCTGGGATCACAGCTTGTGCTACCACACCCATTACCATTACACTTTGTATACATGTATTGAACTATCACACTTTACTCCATAAATATGTACACTTCTTGTGTGAAAGATTTTTTAAAAAGGGGCTGGGGGATGTAGCTCAGTGTAGAGTGCTTGCCTAGCATGCAGGAGGCCCTAGGTTAAATCCCCAGCAACCCCCCCCCCCAATTTAAAAAGTAGCAACAGATAATAACACTTTCCCTCTGAGCGTAGTTGTAAAGACTGAGGGAACCAGAGGTAATTGATGTAACGCATCTGGTTTGGAGCCCCCTCTCTGGACACACTTCCTCTACTTTTCTAACATCAAGTGCAATCCAGGGTTATAAGGTTTAGCACCACATGTAGGGCACAATGGCAGAAACAGGCCTGCTCTGCTTATCCTGAGAAAACTCTGAGAAGATGGGGAAATACAGAATTGAAGGCACTGAAACCAGCACAACATAAACTTACTTTTTACTTCCAAAGTTTAAAGATATTTTTTCTAAGGAATAAAAAATGAGAACCCCTTCCCTGAATGGGCATTTTATGAGAAAATTAACTTATGTACAGTGGACTTCTGAACTAATGAAGTGACCCTAGCTCCTTGATGAGCATTAAAATATGAGAAATGTCACATTCCTCCTCAGT